TTTATGGGGCCGGGAGGGGGTCCACCTATTGACAGGGACAGTGCAATGCAGTCACGCAGCCCCCCTGTCCCCTCCCCTCCCACTCCTTCCTTCCTTCCCTCTCTCCCCCTCTACTGTTGTGACGTGCCCCGGCCACCTTCCGGCTGCAAGCGCCGACAATGTAACTTGAAACTTTGGAATTTCTTTAAAAATAAAAAATTGCAGTGGGCCGCATTACGAGCTGACCTGGGCTGCATGCAGCCCTCGGGCCGCAGGTTGGACAAGCCTGGTTTAGGGCTTTATATGTAAGCATTAACACTTTGAAGTCAATGCGGAAACGGATGGGCAGCCAGTGCACTTCCGGCTGCAAGCGCCGACAATGTAACTTGAAACTTTGGAATTTCTTTAAAAATAAAAAATTGCAGTGGGCCGCATTACGAGCTGACCTGGGCTGCATGCAGCCCTCGGGCCGCAGGTTGGACAAGCCTGGTTTAGGGCTTTATATGTAAGCATTAACACTTTGAAGTCAATGCGGAAACGGATGGGCAGCCAGTGCAGCATGGCCAGGGTAGGAGAGATATGTTGGTATTTTCTCACTCCAGTAAGGAGTCTGGCCGCCGCATTCTGCACCACTTGAAGTTTCCGCATCAGCTTCAAAAGAAGCCCCACGTAGAGCGTGTTACAGTAGTCTAATCTAGAAATTACGAGTGCAAGTACTATCCCATAAGAAGGTCCATACAGATTTTTGGATCATAGTTTTACTTGCAATAATGGGTTTACCTGGTAGTAAGTTTATCTGGTTCATTCATGAGTAAGGAGGCAACAGCAGCTGAGGACAGCTGCTGGATGAGGGGAAAAATTTGGGCAGTGGTTTTCCTTTCCTTTTCTTTTTGGAGGGTTTGATTTTTTTAAAATAAAAAAACATTGCCTTCAAAGTGGCAATGCAGGTTGGGGAAATAGAGTAGGAACCCCATATCCACAGGGGATCAATGCCAAGCCCCCCCCCCAATGCTGAAAAACATGGATTTAGCAAATGCTATTATAGTAACAAATATTATACATAGCTCCATCTAGTGGTCAGTTCTGGTAAATACATTGTAGAAATATATTCTCTAGTAGTGAATGCTATACATCAGAGGTCCCCAACCCCTGGTCTGAGGCCCTGTGCAGGTTCGTGGCCTGAGCCTGACCAGGCCATGGAGACAGACCTCCCGCCCCACGCCCTCACATGCACTCACCCCCGCACAGCTGGTTTGCGCATGCATGCGCACTCCAGCATGCCTGTGCGAGTGCCGCGTTGCCATATGCGCGTGTGCCTGAGTGGCCACACAAGTGCCACGGCGCTGCTTGCACATGCGCATAAGTGTGCACTCATTCATGAGCATGCGAGAGAGCGCTTGTTCATGCATGCGCATAAGCATGGGGTGCCCCGCCTTCCCCAGCTGATCCGCATGTGCCTGAGTGGCCACACAAGTGCCACGCTGCTGCTTGCACATGCACATAAGTGTGCACTCATTCGTGCGCATGTGAGAGAGCGCTTGTTCATGCATGCGCACAAGCATGGGTGCCCCGCCTTCCCCAGCTGATCGGCAGGTTGAAAAAGGTTGGGGACCCCTGCTATACATAGCACAGCCTCTGGCTCCATCTAGTGGCCAGTTCTAATATTGTAACTTCACTGGTAGAAATTTATATTGAGGGGATTTTTTCTTTTTATATTTTTGTACCATGAATAAGTGAATCAATGTATATAGATCATGCAGATAAGGGGGTCCTACTGTATTTTTTAAAAAGGCAAAAATAGAGCTGGGGGTTATCATTCCTCCTTTTTAAAAGCAAAGTGTGTACTGCTTATATACTACCGCATAGCCTTTGGGCAAGTTACAATTTAGTTATGTGGGTTACACATTGCCTGCCACCCCTCTGAGCTGGGTATTCCATTTTCTGACCTTAGAAGGATGGAAGGCTTTTAATGTCACATCCCACCTCCTACTTCACAAGTTTGCCTCCTCAGTTAACACTGCCCCACAGTGCAAGATAACTACACAAGGAGCTAATCAGGATGATACTGAATCATACCAAAAAGAATACATGCTCTACCTCGGTGTCACAAAGGAGCAGGACAGCTCTTAAAGGGGCAAGATGGCTTGATCTAAGTAGAAATCGATGTGGACACCGTCATTTTTTTGAAAGCAAAGTACCAACAACGATCCATACATCGATCTAAATGACAGTGTGGACAGCCTCTATATTTCAGTATTTTCAAAGAGGCTGGACACTTTTGCGTGACTTCCCAAGGGGATTTGATGGCTGACGTGAAGCGCCAAACAGCTTCCCTTCCACCTGGGCAAGATGCGTAGAACCCCCTAAGCCAACCAAATGTTGACCAGTTGTGGAGACAGGAAAATCTCCTATATGCTTGTTCTCAACCCTTGGGATAAAAATACAATAATCAGGGAAATAAAGAATTATTTGCTACCCACATGTTCACGACATGCCTGATGTGCTTTACTCAACCTAAAGGGTACTTGATGCACAGACCCCTTCAGGATTTTGCACACCATGGTCATGCGGTGTGTGTAGAAACTGATGTGAAATCTTGTACGACATGCCTGATGTGCTTTACTCTACCTAAAGGGTAGGACCCGCCCGGTACTTGATGCACAGGCCCCTTCAGGATTTTGCACACCATAGTCATGTGGTGTGTGTAGAAACTGATGTGAAATCTTGTTTGTTTGTTTGTTTAAGCTACTTGTATACCATCCAGTTGAATGACAAGCGCTACTCCGGATGGTTGACAATAAAAGCTACTTGTATACCATCCAGTTGAATGATAAGCGCTACTCCGGATGGTTGACAATAAAAGGAACGTATCTCAACAAACCCAACACTGCAAAATAAACATTAAACAATGCAAATTAAAATTAACCAGAAATCTAAAACCTAAATGACTACAGGACCAGGCAGCATAACAACTCAAGGGAGGACGTCTTGAAGAGCTCATTTGGAGAGCATGGTCTTTCGCTTCCTCTTGAAGGTTGGGAGGGAGGGGGGCCTGGCGTGATGGATCGCACATGATGATGCCCGTGGGCGGGCTGTACAATCCACACATCCACCAGCACCCCTGAAGCCAAACCTTTGTGTTCTCTGCGGTTTCTTTCCTCTTTGCAGATTTTTCTATGGGAAGGGTGTCACCGGCACAGCTTATGTGAGGTTCGGTGTGAGTGATGATGATGGTGGGAAAACATATATCACAGGGCTGGAGCAACATGTTATGGTAAGAAAACTCAACGCTTTCCGCATATCACCCACCTCCGTGGCAGTTGTTGAGCAGGGAGGCAACGCTTCAAGCTTATGTGTCCGTCTCCGAGGTTTGAAGCATAGCCCTAACAGCAAGATTAAAAGTTCACCCCTTAAAATAGAAGTGGAAACTTTGGCCTGTCTGATATTTTGCAGTCTGCTTCCCGGAAGCCCCAGCACGGACTGTAGTGGGGATTATGGGAAGTTTAGTCGATAGCGTGACTTTGTCTTCATATCTGTTACCTATGTATTTGATATGAAAGATCTGCAAGGTTGCAACAGGAGGAAATATGTATTTGCTTTAACCTTTAGCCTGACTGCAAGGTGGAAAATCAGCTAGCCAGATGTGGGCTGCATGGTCCCAGAGAAAGGCCCCGTCTCTCCCCTGTCTGTTGCTTCCTGGTTTGGGGAGGAAAGCGAGAGCCATTTCTGACATAAGCCAGCCATCTTGACAGGATATATAAAAATGGCTACTTACAACCTCCTACTCCCAAGTTTTCAGGAACAAAATTTGCCATTTTTAGTTCTAAAGTTCAGGGAGTTTGAGGGGAAAGGTGGCCGTCAAAGATCCGGGGAAGGCAAAAATAGACCCTACAGCAGTGGTTCGGCCACTTTGGGTCCCCAGATGTTCTTGGACTACAACTCCCAGAAGCCTTCTCCACTACCTCTGCTGGCCAGGATTTCTGGGAATTGTAGTCCAAGAATGCCTGGAGACCCAAGGTGAAGAACCAATGTCCTGAAGCCTCAGAATTTGCCAGTTCCTGTTTTAATTTATTTATTTTATTTACAGTATTTATTAAATTTATACCCCGCCCATCTAGACACAAGTCTACTCTTTAATGCCTCTTGAAGCCCCCACACTGGACCTATGGAACTGAGTTTTCCCGGTGTGTGTCAAACATCCCCACTCTAAAATCTCTTTCTTTCTTCATAATAGGGCACTTGGGTCTTAACTGTTGTGTGTGTGTTATTTTACACTCTCCCACCCGCAACTTGGACCCCTGATTTTTCTCCTTATCAGATAACGGATGGCCAGGGCTCAGTCGCCCTCCAACGCAGTCTTTTCGCAGAGAAGCTGGGGCGCCCTCTTCAGGACCTGGTTGGAACATCACTCTACATTGCCGCTACAGTCATAGAATCAGCAAGTAAGCTTGGCTACAGGAAGCCCCTTCTCTGTAAAGAAGCCTATCTAACCATAACGCTGAGCCAAAACCAGGTTTTCCCCTTCTTGAGATGCTGCCAACATTTGCATAAATGATCTGTAGATATTTGCAGAGGGTAGAGATGGGCCGAACCTCGGTTCGGAAGTTTGTGATGGTTTGTACGTACAGGTCCTACACTTCCCTTGCTTCCCTGGCTGGATCCTCCACTCACCAGTCGGAGCGTGCCCCTCTCCTCCTCCTCTTTGGCCATTTGACCAGTCTCCAGTAGAAGCACGAACTTCCCTGAACCGCCTCCTTGGCTGATCGCCCCACTCAGACAAGGAGGCAGGACAGTCAAACCCATGCTCCTCTTGGAGAATGGGTAGATATAAGTGGCTAGGGTTTACTTAATCTGTCTGGCGGGTTCAGTATCTACTGGCTGGATAGCCTGGTGGTTTAGATATCTGGCTATGGAGCCGGACGTTGGGAGTTCGATTCCCCACTGGGCCTCCTGTGAGTAAAGCTAACCTGTGTGGCCTTGGGCAGGGGGCACAATCCGATCAGAAGAAGAGAATGATAAATCAGCTCTGACTTGAAGGCACATAATGTTGATGATAATGATGATCTACTTAAGATTGTACTGTGTGACCTTGGGTCAGTTACTATATCAGCCAGACCTACCTCGCAGGGTTCTTGTGAGAATAAAGTAGCGGGGGAGAAGTTTAATGTACACCCCTTGGACTTCACGGGAGGAAACTCAGGATATAGATAGAATAAAAGGAAGGAATGAAAGAAGGAAGGAAGGGGAAAAAATTCATCTCTTCAAATTCTTGCTTTTTTGCTTAGAAAGTAGTCTGCATTACCAGGGAATGTGATGGATTCAGATATTATTTGTCAAACTGGCAAATGATGGATGGATGGGGTGACAGCTTTGTACAAAGGTTGTTGGCCATTTTGTCTTCAGGTTTAGCTCATACAGAGGTAGGTCCCTGCCTACCACTTACCTTCCCAGCCCAAAGGGCGAGAAGGGCATGCTAGCTAGGGGACTCTGCTCTTTTCTCTCCATTCATGAGCACAGCCAAGGAGCTCACAGTGACGGCATCCAGGGCCCATCTTCTTTCCCCTGACATGGTCGTGTCTGTGAAGGGGTCCATGCAGGTCTGGTCATCTTCCCCAGTGTGTGGGGAGGTCAACTGGTGCCCTGAAGCAAGCTTTTTACCCCCATTCTGTTACTTCAGCCATTCAACCGCAGATGAAAAAAATCTGACCTTGAACCTTCTTTGCCACTGAGAGAGGAACGGAAATGAACCAAACGGTTTCTATGGGCCTTCCTCGCTGGTGTGCCTCGGAGGGAGGAAAAGTCTCATTTTCCTTCCTTAACTTTCCTTCTGTTGTTCTTGCAGGTGGCGAGCTGGAGGAACAAGAGCTTGCCTCAGTGAAATTTGTGTTGTCTCCCTATTCGGTGGACGTGTCCAAAACCAAGCACCATTTTGTGCCCGGTGCCCCGTTTGATGTGCTGGTGCGTGTTTTGCATCTGGAGAGTGAATTTTATAATTAACTTTTTACCCTTACTAATTACAGGGGTTGAAAAGTAACCCATTCCCGTTACTTGTTGTGGTGTCAGAGAAGTAACTCATCCTCTCTTGTGTGTTGCCATGACTGTTCCTAAGCTACTACTACTTTACTTTTTTAAAACAAACAAACAGACGTAAGGTTGATTTTAAAATGGCCTAAAATTTGAAACGTTCCTTTAAAAATCCCTCTAAAAACATGTTAAAACGCCCTTAATGTTTTAGCTTTCCAAATGAATCAGGAATTTTACACCAACAAAGTCATGTCATTCCTATTACACCGTTGTGGACCTAGAAGGTAACTATTTGCAGATAACGATGGGTGTGATTCAGACAGCTGTGAAGACGTGTGCCTGATTGCATCAGAAAGGATCACTTTAACTTGAGTGATCTCCCTTGAAGTGACCCTTTCGTCCTTTAAGGAATTTCTCCATCCCACCCACAAACACTTAGTAGCCCTACCGCTGGGCCTAAAAGGACCACTTTGGGCATGAATTGGCTCGGAGTGCTGTTCCCTGTACATCTTGGGGTGGATGGCTCAATGGTTGAGGTCACTGGCTGCAGAGCCAGAGGTTGGGAGTTCGATTCCCCGCTGGGCCTGTTTGACAGGGACTGAACTTGATGATCTAGTACAGGAGTCCCCAATCCCTCCGGTTCGTGGCCCGGAGCCGGACCGTAGCCTTGGCCGGACCAGGCCGCGGACACAGATCTTCCGCCCCCTACACACACTCCCCCCTGCATACCCACCTGCACAGCACTCCACCCTTGCAGGCATGCACACAAGTGTGCCCCCACTCCTTTGCGCATGCACATGAGTGCCCATGCGCCCGCGTGAGTGAGTGCCACCCCTTCATGCATGTGCCCCCCAACTGGTCCGCGGTATCAAAAAAGTGAGGACCACCGATCTAGAGGGTCCCTTCCAGCTCTGCAATTCTAAGAAACAGGTGTGATCACCAGGAGAAAGCTTGCACAAGACTGTGCCACAAGAGGTCGAAAATGCAAGCTATACCGTACGTCCATACGATCACACCCTGTTACTTCCAAGCTCTAATCGCATGTCCTTGTTGCAAGAGATGCTTTGTTACAAGTGATGTCCGACATGCAATCCTCCTTTCCAAGCTGTCCTCCCCTTTTCCTCAAAGCCTCCTCACCCACCTTGTCTTCGCTGGCTTCTAGAATTGAGCCTCTTAGCTACCTGCATTCACTGTTCCAGTGGACTTGTCCCTTTTAGATACCCTCTGAATTGCAGGACGTAAGCTTTGGAGACTTACAGAACTGTTCCTCGGGATGGGTATTTCTGGAAGACGGAATAAAAACATCTTCCTACATGATCTAGAGAAGGAAGACGTTGGAGTCCAAGTCTAAATAGATCCAAACCCAGCTATGTAATAGGTTTTCACATTACACAGAGATAGGAATCCTGTCATTTCTGGAGCATCATGATTAAGAGAGGTCCATCTTTCTAGCATTTGGGCAGGGGGAGTAATATATGGTTTGGAAGGCAGGTAAGAGAGAGAATTCAAAAGGTTTCCATAGCCATAGGTGTTTTCTGGAGACAGAACAGAACAGTTCAAGATACTTTGTTAACTGAGTCAAAGGAGGAGATGACACCATCTTTCTTGTCCCTTCTTATTTAGCCAGTTGACTGAAAGCTGAGTCTGACTTCAATGCTAGTGAAAGGAATAGCATTCTTAATTTCTGCCCAAGGGTAGAGCCGGCTGGGGAGGAAAATATGCATGTTACATGTGTTTAGTCGTTTAGTCGTGTCCACCTGGGGAGGAAAATATGCATGTTACATACACATGAGTTATTTTGCTTTTTTGCAGGTTGGTGTGCAGGCATTTGTTTATTACCTTTTACCTGGGGAGGAAAATATGCATGTTACATACACATGAGTTATTTTGCTTTTTTGCAGGTTGGTGTGCAGGCATTTGTTTATTACCTTTTCTAATTTGTTCATACACACGAATTATTTTGCTTTTTTGCGGGTCGGTGTGCAGGCATTTGTTTATTACCTTTTCTAATTTGTTGCTTGTATCATTCACATATGTGTCATCAATATTTGTTTTTTTTAAATTACTATTGTATTTGTTGTTTTACCCAGGCTACGGTTTTACTCCCAGATGGTACACCGGCTCCTCGCCTCCCCGTCCGCATCTCAGCAACGACCTCTGGAGCCTCCACTCTTGGAGAGGCTGAAATCCTGAGCAATGATCGTGGGATTGTGACGCACAGAATCAATGTTCCTCCCACAACTACCTCCATCACTGTCAGGGTATGTATGAGCCGCCATCTCTCCCGTACCAGGAGGAAAAATGAGTATAATAAGACATTCTCATAGGTGGAAGGAGAGAGAAAGTACCGTTGGCGGAAACGTTATAACCAGACAAAGACCTTTCTCTTCAGGCAGGCTTTCCCTTAGTGACTAGCTATCTGAGAGCAGGGTTTTTAATGGATTGCTGGGCTCTGTTGCTTTTAAATGTGTTTTCAGTTTTGTTTTACTTTGTCCTTTTTCATATAATACTTCTTCAATTCTTTTTAAAATTCTTCTGTGGATAACAGTGTGTGTATATATATATCACATTTGTGGTTTTGCACAGCTGGCAGCAGGGACAGATTTTCCAGCAGAAGCTACCTTGACGGCCAAGGCTATGGACTCCCAAAGTGGCAACTACCTGATCATAGAAAGCCCACGTTATCAAGACATCAGCCCCGGAGAAACCCTCATACTTGCGTTGAAACACGTTGGATCGAGTGCCTTCTCCAAATTCCACTACATGGTGAGTCTGAGTGACGTGAGAGTGGGCCACATCGTTCTTGGGATATGTGAGAGATGAGCTGATATTCCCAGGGGTTCTGTATTCTTTTTCTAGCCTCTGATCTCCCGTTTAATTTCTGCGATCAAGCTACAAGTTCATAGCTTGTTAGTACAAGGTAATAGTCATGTAAGCAGGCCCTCCCCAGTGCCTCTTTTTGTCTACTTGGGATGATTTAAGTGCAGGGACTTATAGAACAAAATTAGCTTCCACTCCCCCACCCCAGACTAGATCACCCCTTTTCATCTCTTCAGCGGCATCTACAGTCTCAATAGCTCACTCTGAGATATTGGTAAGAGAAAGAATAAAACTTTTTCTTTACTTACAATTGAACAAATGAAAAACAGCATACTGTACGAAAATGACTCCTTACAGCAGCAGGCCTCAACAGACTCAGCGCCTGTTTCCAAGCAAACTCCTGCAGGCTAAACTCTGCACGAACTGCCAGCAGACTAAAAGAGAGGCGAGACTCTCTTTGAAATCAGACGGCTTTTAAAAGCTTATTTTTTTCAAACTAAAACACTACCTTCTAGAAGCAAAACACCTGCCCCTTTAAATGTAAATAAATAGGAGGAATATTGGAGGGAAGAGGTATTGGAGGCCCTTGAAACATGACAAAATTATCTCATCTATAATATGAGGGAACCTTTTCAGGAAAATAAATGTAGAATTTTTTTTTTCAGGAACCTCAGCAGGCTGCATGGTGTCTAATCCCTGCTGTAAAGGCGGAGTTTGAATGCCTTGCAGAATGTTGAACTTCTGGAGAAATTCCTTTTTGCTTCGTGGTAGGAGTAGAGAGTGCAAGCTCCCCAGAGAGTCCAGCCCTCTGAGATGTCTGTAGTAGAAAGAACATAAAATGTTTCAGTAGTTACAGCTGTACTTACAGGCAGTAAAGTTTGCACAAACTTAACTTCCAACGGACTAAAGAGAGGGAAAAAGGACACTCAGCAGAGAGGCGGAGCTGTCTTTGAATGCAGAAGCAGGAAGGGATGATTCTTTAGTGCTGGTTAGATTGACAGTCCAGATAAGTCCCTCCCGGTCACTCAAACCACAGGGAGCATGCGAGGTTGTTAAAACTCCCCAACAGAATCCCTGCATATTCCACTACGTTTGAGGCTGCTTGCCCTTTCTTTTATCGGATAGCCTCCTCATCAGAAACATCCTCCTTCTCCTCTCTATGCCGCAGCAGCTGCTGGTCGAGGAGTTCTCTTTAGTTTGTAGTTGGTAAGAAATTTCCCACATTTGGAATTCTTCTCAGATTGAGATAGAAGAACTTGAAATCAAAAAAGAAAGAAAGAAAAGAACGTGAGTGAAAGTGGCAGATCCTTTGATCTATAATTACAGCACCATGATCTGAATGTGAGCTTTTAAATGTTCAAAAAGCAGTGGTGGGATACATGCTAAGCACTCCTCTTTGAACCGGCTTATGTACTTTCAGGTATTGAACAAAGGGGATATTGTCTATGTGAAGAGTGTCCCTCGTGGCTCCTATACTGCCGTCTCGGTTCCCATCACAACCGCCCTTATGCCCGCTTTCCGCTTTGTGGCCTTCTACCGCCTTGGAGATGAGACTGTAGCAAACTCCATCTGGGTGGATGTTGTGGATCAATGTGAGGGGAAGGTGAGTCACATTTGAAAATGAATTTCTCTGCATGAATGCGTTGAATTTCTGCTTAAATCCCTCCAGCTGCACAGCAGAAGTGTAAGAGCAGAATAACTTCCAGTCCCTCAGTTTAGTGCACCCCACCCCCTTTTTTTTTAACCAGCTGGTACTGGGACGTGGTGAGGGATGTAATGGCGCTGTGGGCTATACCGCAAAAGCCTTTGTGTGCTGCAGGGTCAGAAGATCAGCAGTTGTAAGATCGAATCCACGCAACGGAGTGAGCTCCCGTCGTTTTGTCCCAGCTCCTTACCAACCTAGTAATTCAAAAGCATGTAAATATGAGTAGATAAATAGGTACCATCTTGGTGGGAAGGTAAACAGCATTCTACCTGTATGTATAGCCGCGCTGGCCACATGACAACGGAAACTGTCTTCGGACAAACGCTGGCTCTACGGCTTGGAAACGGAGATGAGCACCGCCCCCTAGAGTCGAACATGACTGACTAAAATGTCAAGGGGAACCTTTACCTTACTTATATTCTCTGTAACTCATTCTGAGACAGTAGTTGGAGAGAAAATAAAAAAAAGGTTTTGTTTACTTATCGTTGAACAGATACAAGAGCAAACTGACAAACTTGACTATTTCGAGCCATAGGCCTCAACAGATTGACTGACTTGTTCCGACAGATGACAGAGAGGGAAAAAGCAGAGCAAAGAGGCGGGGCTCTCTTTGAACCAGAGGCCAGAGAAGGAACGGTTGGTTAGTGGTGTTAGTGACTGACAGACACCCCAACCCAGAAAGGTCCCTCTCAACCACACCTACGAGAGGCAGCATGCGAGATTGCAGAAATTCCTAACAGAAGACACCTTGCCAAAATTCATTCCTGAAATTTGTGGGGTTGATTTGGGCATTCATTCTTCAGCTGTACGAATTGCCAGTCAGCCAGGGGTATTCGTGGCATATCTTACATCGCCTGGGGAGTTGGACGGGATGATTTTTGAGATCCTTTCCTGCTCTGTCCCCCCCACACACACACACACTCTGTAGTTCTATGCCAAACGAGGCTGATCATTGTCAAAGCTCGGACATGTAACTGTTTTGAACAACAGACTCCCAGATTTCCCCCAGCCAGGATTCCGGGAAATGGGAATCCTCAAAATTACCAATTTCCAACGTCTTGCACTGCAGATACAAGCACCATCTTAGTGTGAGTAGTAGTATCCATAACTGGGGGAATGACTTTTTATAACTAATTCATTCCTATTCCTTGCCATGGTTCATTACAAAGTTTAAAGAGCATAAATCATTTTGCTGTTACTTTTCTATTATTGTTCCATTATAATTATAAAAGCATAACCATAATTCGAACACATGATAGGGGTGATAATGGGGCAGCATAAAATTGAAAAATGCCGCTAACATTTCCTTAGAAGTAGCTCATGTGATTTACAGAACAGGGTTTGGGGCATTGCCATTTATTCCATTTATATCCTATCCTTCGTAATGAGAGCTTGGAGTAACGAACAGTTCTTACTTAGCATGCTTTGCTTTGTGATGGATCACTGGAAGGTAGACATGTGTTTAATTAGCGAAACTAATTGCGAAGGCATATATCAGTAAAGAAATCCTGTTGAGGGAGAGAAAATAGGTCAATTAGAGGGAATATACTTAGCAACTATTTTGACTTCTAACACTTTGGGGGATTTTTTTTCTTTTCTAGGAAAAAGTCCTGTTTTGTACAATTTGCCATTTTTAGCGAACAACTGGTGTTAACTTGATTTGAAATGGTTTACAACCTCCTGCAGATTTTAGTTCAGTTTAATATTCTTTGCTTTTCACACACTTTTTAAACGACTGCATTTTAGGTTTTGATTTGATTGTGCGCGTCCTGGAGCATTCTGTTTTGTAGGTAGCTTAAAATTCCAATAAATAAAATATAGATCTTTGATCGGACACAGGAGAATAGGCCATTGATAGAAAGAGAAGATAAAGGAGAGTGAAATTAGAAGATAAGAATGGGAAGGCAGGCATCCCCATAAAGGGAGCAGTTGAACCCCAGGAATTGGATGGATGGATAAATTCAATTTTAAAAGCTGTGTCCGAGTGTGGTTCAGGGTATCAAAATGTCTCAGGGCATCCTGAGGGGTGATATGATAGCACTTTTCAAATATTTGAAAGGCTGTCATACAGAGGAGGGGCAAGATCTGATCTTGATCATCCCAGAGTGCAGGACATGAAACAATGGGTTCAAGTTAAAGGAAGCCAGATTTTGGTTGAATATCAGGAAAAACTCCCTAACTGTTAGAGCAGTACGACGACAGTGGAACCAGTTACCTCAGGAGTTGGTGAGTGCTCCAACACTAGAGGCATTCAAGAAGAACTTAGATAATCCCCTGGCAGATCTGCTTTGATGGTATTCCTGCCCTGAGCAGGGTCTTGGACTCGATGGCCTTGTAGGCCCCTTCCAACTTCACTTTTCTGTGATTCTATGATCCCTAACAATGGCCGCTTCTGATTTTCAGCTGGAGCTCCGTGTATCGGGGAACAAAGATGAGATGCGCCCTCAGGATCGTGTGTCACTCACCATAAGCACGGACGCAAAATCGTTTGTGTCTCTTTCTGCCACGGACTCAGCAGTTTATGCTCTCAACCGGAAGAATCGCCTCACGCAGGGCAAGGTAACCCCCTCGCCTTCCCTGTCCACTGCCTTTACTGTGGCTGTCATTGTTGTTTCTAAGTCCCTTCCCTTTCCTTGTGAGAAACCTTTTTCACCTCATTGCTGTAATTTCCCCAAGATTCACCGACCACTGTTGAAGAAATCCTTGTGGCTGGCCTGTGGTCTCCAACCTTGTAAACAATTTTTTTAAAAAACCACATTTCCTAAAATTCCTATGCTTGAGAATTCTGGATAATAATGAATCATCATCTACCCAGGCTAGGTAGGTCTCTCTGTGTAGCCACTCTTAAGAAGGCCTGAAAGTCAGCCACAAGAGGCAGGATCTTCTTTGTGATGGCACCGATCTTATAGAAGCAGCTCCCAGAGGAGGTACGCCGGGCTCCCTCCCTGCTTTCATTCAGGAGACAACTGAAAACACTGCTTTTCAGGGCGGCTTTCCACAACGACCCTGGTTCAAGGTTCACCTCCCTTCCCATCATGATTGGGAAAATTCCTCTTGGTGCCATTTGACTCCATGCTACTGTGTTTTGTTTTCTACTGGTCGTTTGTATGTTCATATACGTTTCAGCCTGTTGTAAACCACCCAGAATAATGCTTCTGCCCTAAAGGGTTGGTATATAAATTAAAGTAATTATTAATGATGATGATGATGATGGGGCCAGCTGCCTGGTCCCAGGGTTCCCCCTAGAGGAAGGAAAGGGTAAAGCACTTCTGAGTATTCTCTACCTGGAAATCCCTGAAAAGGGTCACCGTAAAGCAGAATTGACTTGATGGCTCACAATTGTTATTATTATACGTTTACTCCCGGAAGAGGGATGCTTAACTGGATTTTCTGCCTTCGGGTACCAGCAATGACCCTTGCTTGCCTTAGGTGTGATGGGCTTTCTTATGGGCATCCAGGGCTCTGTGTTTTACTCCTTGGCCTCAGGGATCAAAATGTGCTGGGCCAGTGTTTCTGCACCTATGGAACAAGGACACGCTCAGCACTAATGCAAATTCTTGCACCTGACATGATAACCAGATGGTTTCAGGACCCTCTCTCCCTGTCCTCTCATGGGAACCCTCCCATAGGTTGTTCCAGCCATTCCAGCCCGTTATCTCAATTTTCAGCTTCTTTGTGTTGTTGTTTTTCTTTCTTTCTGCAAATAGGTGTTCCAAGCCATGGGAAGTTACGATCTTGGCTGCACCGCAGGAAGTGGAGAAAACACAATGGGGGTCTTTGCTGATGCAGGGCTCTCCCTTCGCGTTGGCGTTCTGCAGAGTTCTCTTCGGAAGGGTGAGTCCCAGACCTTTAGGAAAGTTGCTCTTTTAGGGCTTGGCAAAGGTAAAGGTTCCCCTTGACATTTAGTCCAGTCATGCCCAACTCTAGGGTGCGGTGCTCATCCCCGTTTCCAAGCCATAGAGCCAGCGTTTTGTCCGAAGACAGTTTCCATGGTCACGTGGCCAGCATGACTAGACACGGAACGGCATTACCTTCCCACCAAGGTGGTACCTGTTTATCTACTTGCACTTACATGCTTTCAAACCTTGGAGTTCTGCAGAGCAATTGGGTTTAGTTTGACCGAAAGCATCTGAATATTATTTCACATAAATAGACGTAAGCGAAGGCTTTCCTCTGGCCTAGCCAACAATTTGTATTGATTCAATTGAGGCAAGAAGGCCCACATAGTTGATAAGTTTTTAGCCCTGAACTCTCTCTAGAGGCAAAAATGTTCCATTTGAGTTTGTCCCTACTTTGGGCACAGCCATGAGAAGGCAAGATTCTCTGGAAAAGACAAGAATGCTGGGAAAAGTGGAAGGCAGCAGGAAAAGAGGAAAAGCAAACATAAGATGGATTGACTTCCTAAAGGAAGGCACAGTGTTGAGTTTGTAAGATCTAAGCAAGATTGTTGAGGACATAATTATTTTGGGGATCCCTCATTCATGGGGTTGCTATACGTCAAGGGCAACATAACAGCACATAACAACAATTCTTTGCCCACTTCAGACATCACACCTAAGGCCGGCCCTACCATTAGGGAGAGTCCAGTGGCCACTCGAGCGCACTAGCCCTGGCCTTCTCCCTGGCCTGTGTTGGGACATGGGAAACGCAACCATCTGAAGGGGTGCTGCCGCTGTACTCTAGCTTTCCCAAGTGGGCCAGAACCCCACTTTGGACGGGTGGCTCAGATGGAGAGGTAAAAGATAAAGGTTCCCCTTGACATTTAGTCCAGTCATGTCCGACTCTAGGCAGCGGTGGCCATCCCCATCTCCAAGCCGTAGAGCCAGCGTTTGTCTGAAGACAGTTTCCGTGGTCACGTAGCCAGCGCGACTAGACACGGAACGCCGTTACCTTCCCACTGAGGTGGTCCCTATTTATCTACTCGCACTTACATGCTTTCGAACCGCTAGGTTGGCAGGAGCTGGGAGAAGCAGCGGAGGCTCACTCCATCGCGTGGATTCGATCTGATGACTGCTGGTCTTCTGACCTTGCAGTACAGAGGTTTCTGCCAGTAGCGCCCCTATTGCAGGCCACATTGTGATTCTGTTACAATGACAACCCCTTGCCATTGGGTCTTTTTTTTTAAAAAATTACATAATTATAATGATTACCTGATTACATTTAATAATTAAGCGAAGTGTGCTGTTTTATATATTGCCTTATAGCACTTAAAGCTCTCTCTGGGCAGTTTACAATTTTAATTTTGCTGACTACGGGTTCCCCCACCCACCCACCAGCGAGCTGGGTACTCAGTTTACTGACCTCAGCAGGATGGGAAGTCTGCGTCAGTCTCAAGCCAGCTACCTGATCCCGTTGGATCTAACTCACACTCAGTTTACTGACCTCAGCAGGATGGAAGTCTGAGTCAGTCTCAAGTCAGCTACCTGATCCCGTTGGATCTAACTCAGGTCATGAGTAGTCTTGACTGCAGTATTGCAGTTTAACCACTGCGCCATGAGGTGCAATAAAAAGGATTACATTTAGTTAGTATGTAATATAAACCTGTGCTAGAATATAAACTACAGTATCTAAAGTAGCCTTTTTTCAACCTGGGACCCTCTAGGTACAATTCTCATCACAGGTCGTGCGAGCCTGGAGGGGTGATGAGATGGAATTGAGATGTGGAAGTCTTCCGTCTGCAATAACAGAAATTAATTTTCTAGTATTGTATCTTGCTTGGCATTTGGTGCCAACTAAAGCAACGGCATTCATTTTCAGAGTAATTCATTAGGTGCTCCCTGTTTCACCTATAATGTTTATCGTAGTTGACATAAATGATGGATTATGGCAAACGCTATAAGCGTATCGTATATATAGCATGGTCTCTGGCTTCCTCTAGTCGCCAATTCTGGTATTTCTAGGACTTTTCTTTTAATATTTTTCAGACCATGGATAAGTGAATCAGCGGATACTGATGCTGCAGATACAAGGGTCCTACTGTAATTTATCATACCAGTCACTGAGTCTACTGTAATTTATCATACCATTCACTGAGTCTACCCATTTGAAAGCTCTTTCTGTATTCGACCGTTGCCATTACGTCATTGACCCCTTCTTTTTCTCCCGCCAGCTGCCCCTTTTGATAGGACAAATTCCAGTAATTCATTAGGTGCTCCCTGTTTCACCTATAATGTTTACCATAGTTGACATAAATGATGGATTATGGCAAACGCTATAAGCGTATCGTATATATAGCATGGTCTCTGGCTTCCTCTAGTCGCCAATTCTGGTATTTCTAGGACTTTTCTTTTAATATTTTTCAGACCATGGATAAGTGAATCAGCGGATACTGATGCTGCAGATACAAGGGTCCTACTGTAATTTATCATACTGTTTACCATAGTTGACATAAATGATGGATTATGGCAAACGCTATAAGCGTATCGTATATATAGCATGGTCTCTGGCTTCCTCTAGTCGCCAATTCTGGTATTTCTAGGACTTTTCTTTTAATATTTTTCAGACCATGGATAAGTGAATCAGCGGATACTGATGCTGCAGATACAAGGGTCCTACTGTAATTTATCATACCAGTCACTGAGTCTACCCATTTGAAAGCTCTTTCTGTATTTGACGGTTGCCATTACATCATTGACTCCTTTTTCTCCCACCAGCTGCCCCTTTTGATAGGACAAATTCCCGTCTCCCCACTCAACACTTTCCTTTTGGCTTTTTCAGCACACGCATGTAGTGCAGATGTTTCCCGGAAGAAGCGTTCACTGCAGTTCCGGGTGGAAGTGCTGAAGAAGCGTAAGTGATGTGCAGGAAAGGGAGGAGGAGGAGGGGGTAGTGGGTCTTCCCCTGAGCCCTGTAGTTCCAAAAGGGCACCGTTTGGGACCACAGCTCCCTTAAACCCCATCAAGCACGCTCTGCTAGCAGGATGGCTTCCACGTGGCTTGTTGGATTCTAGGAATTCGAAACCACCACCACCCCCCAAAAATTTTTTTGCTCATCTTTGATCCATTGTGTGTAGAACACATTAAGCCGCTTTTCTTAGTTCTTCTGTGTTTGCTCCATTTCTGTTTCCAGTATAATGTTCTCTAGAAAAGAATCCTGAATGCTCTGGAAAAAGGGTTACGAAAACTCTGTGAATTTTCCTCCCCTTTCGTCCCTAGAATGTGCCCACTTGCATTATCCCTCTTCTTTTTCCCCTTTCCCACAGTTTCCAGGTACCCCAACCCTGAGGACCAAAAGTGCTGCCGGGGCGGGATGGAGCTGCTTCGCCATGCGCGCTCGTGTGAGGACCGCGCCAGGCGGATCCAGGGTCCGAATGCCGAACAGTGCCGGAAAGTCTTTCTCGACTGCTGCAAGCATGCCGTCGGTCTGCGCCGCAAGTCATGGGGATCCCACAACCTTGGACGCAGTGAGTAGAAAACTCAAACCGTTCTGCCCAGATTCAAGGGAATATTGTCCTTGCAAACAAAGCCCACATTTCAGGCACGATAGCTACACAAAGAAGATCATCATCATCATCATAGAGGTGCAGAGCTCGAAGGGACCCTGTGGATCCTTGAGGCCAGTGTCTGTCAAGGAGGCTCAGTGGGGCGTTGAACGTCCAACCTCTGCTGCCCAGCAGTTGCTAGTCAGAGTCATATTGGTGTTTACATAAGTATCGCATAATTTTTGCAGCCACTGATTGGCAAGATGCTGAGGCCAATCAAGGTAGCATCCTCTGGTCACACGCCCGATTGTGCAGCCTGTGTCACCTTGACTCCCTTGCCTTCTCTTGTCCTCATCTACCTGAAAGGATTCTTATGGGTATAAAGCATATGTGTTGCAAAGCCATGTGTGTTGCCCTCAGAGAAAAAGGAGAGAAAACATCACAATATTCTTCAATACACAGGTAGCCCTCAAAAGAATAGATTTGATCAGTGAAGTTTAGAATCTTGTTAACAGCCAGTGTTTCTGGGATGTGGTAATTCAAGACAGAGCTTTCAGTTTGGAACCTGTTCTACTCCATGTAGCTCAAAACCTAGAGGAGGAGGAAGATTTTTTTGATGATGATGCCCTTCAAATCCGGAGTGCCTTCCCTGAGAGCTGGCTTTGGAAAACACTACCTATAGAAGGGTCCCACACGTGAGTAACCCAGTGGTTCTTCTGAGTGTTCCTTCCTAGCTCAAGAATGGTGGGAGTCCCTACTTCCTGTCAGATGCTGGGCTCAAGGTCACTTTAGACTAAAAGTGAATTTGAGGTCACACATTCCCAGGATCAGGATCCGAGTGGGAAATGGGCAACATCCCAGTGCTGGGGAAGTACATTTGACTAATCCTGTCCCCAAACACTTGGACTGCCATGTTAGGATTTGAGTGTGCTGATTTTTACACCAAGTTTTTTATATATAGGCTTGTATCTTCACTCATGGTAAGTAACTAGGTCTGCTTGGCAGTTGTGGGTTGTGGAAGAGCACTAGGTAAGACATACAAAACAGTTGAGAAGTACGGAAGAATGTTCATGAATGGAACTGTCAGCTGATTGGTTGTTGTGATTCCTGGTTGGAGAAAGTGTGTGTTTAAGAGAAAGTCAGATATGAGAGAGAGAGAGAGAGAGAGAGAGAGAACTTCTTGGTTAGAGCTTAGAGTGATCTGTTTTAAGTCTTTAAAAATGTGTGTTGTCAGTCAAACTTGAGCTGGAACTTATAGTTTACTTCTCTCTGATAATGGAAGCTTTTTATTCTTTTCTATGTTCTGATGAACTTCTCTTTGGTTTACAAACTTTGTTTATTATTTTTAGAAATAGCAGTAACAAGACCTTATACTCATGCACACCAGGGGCCAGTGCTCAGGCACATAATTTATGTAGTGTCACCAAAGTAAATAATTCTGTATGTTTCACCATGAGCATTTTTATTTCTAGTAAAAAGGCAATGGTGGGTCTTTAGTTTCAGCAGTCCTTGGACAGCAATGCAAAGGGAACTGACTGTTTGGCTAATTTGGGGATAGGGATAATCTAGGAGAGAAAGTCCCTGTTCACAGGCTCATTGGCAATCATATGAGTAGTGAAGGTATATGTGTCTCATTTTTGTGTCCCAGAAACGAGTAAACTAGTTATTTACTTTGTTATTACAGTAAAACCTCCTTATCTGTGAGATCAGTATCCACTGAATCACTTATCCACAGTCTGAAAATATTAAAAATATTAAAAGAAAAAAAAACTCCCAAAAAATATATTTTAAACAATGAAATTACCAGAACTGGCCTCTAGGGGGAGCCAGAGACCATCGCATTTGCTTTTATATAATGTTTAGATAATCCATGTTTTTCAGCATCTGTGGGCTTGGTCCTGATTGCCTATTAGATACGGGGGTCTTACTGGAGGGCCAGGTACAATGGGAGATGCTTGTGGGATTTTCAGCCTGATCGGAATTGCTTGCTTCTCTGAACCTTGACTTGGATACCCTTTAGTACGGCGCCCGAAGTCTTAGGGTGTCTCGGATTAGCCCTGCCCACTGGAATGTTCTTTCCTGCTCTTCTGAGTATTAAGACCCCGTTTCTGTCTCCCGCAGAGAAGCTTTGATTCTTCCCGATTCCATCACCACCTGGGAGATACAGGCAGTTAGTGTGTCTCCGGAAAAAGGTGAGCTGAGTAGCTCTGTGTTTCTCTTTGTTGGGCAACCCTAAGTTACAGAGATCTTCCCTGCGGTTTTATCCTGAGAGCATCTCTCTTTTTTCCCCCTTTGCTGTGAGCACCTTCCTATAGCCAGTGTATGGCAATCTGTGGCCCTCCAGATGGATGTTGGACTACAGCTGCCGTTGGCCAGGCTGGCTGTGAGTGATGGGAGTTGGAGTTCAAAAATACCTGAAGAGCCACAGGTTCCTAACGCTGCTTATATTCTGTGTTGGGATTTCTGGACTGTTTTCCATCCCTCAGCGCTATGTGGCAGGTGATGTCCCCTAGAGCAGTGGTCCCCAACCTTGGGCCTCCAGATGTTCTTGGATACCTGAAGAGCCACAGGTTGCTAACTCTGCTTATATTCTGTGTTGGGACTTCTGGACCATTTTCCATCCCTCAGCGCTACGTGGCAGGTGATGTCCCCTACAGCAAGTGTACCCGGGCTTCTCACGGCTTCTTAATTTTCATTTTCTGCTGACGTTCTATCCGGGCTTCTCATGGCTTCTTAATTTTCATTTTCTGCTGACGTCAGAACTTTCTAGCTTAGATCCAAGCTGGTTGATCATTGTTTTGTGCTGTTCCTTCTTTTTGTTCCCCTGGCCTCTTTTTGACAAACCGATCTTGATTGACCGGCATATTTCCGGCGGCCGTTGGTCTTCTGTTCTGCTTTCATTGTTTCTTCTTTTTTCCTGTTTTCTGATCCTCTAAATATGTTTATCCATTGTCGGTAGCTGCTTTAGAAGAAAAGCAAGGGAGGCAAATTAGGAATATTTTCATGGCTGATTTCCATAGTTTTGCCCATTTCTTCTTTTTTCCTGTTTTCCGATCCTCTAAATATGTTTATCCATCAGTAGCTGCTTTAGAAGAAAAGCAAGGGAGGCAAATTAGGAATATTTTCATGGCTGATTTCCATAGTTTTGCCCAGCTGTCTCTCTCTCTGATGCTCATTTATTCTTGTACTCTCAGGCATCTGCATCTCAGAGCCTCTTAAGATCAGAGTGTTCCAGGATTTCCACATTTCTCTCCGGCTGCCCTACTCAGTCAAACGATTTGAACAGATGGAGCTGCGTCCCGTTCTTTACAACTACCAAGCTAACCCAGTCTCTGTAAGTTAAACTTCCACCTGAATGTCTTGTTTGGGGTTATCAGGTTCATGGAGGCCACAGTGTCAGATCTGGGGGTCAAAGTGTGGGTGTGGGTGCTTGCTCCAGATGTTGGAAGGCAGAGTGAGCAGGTTCGAGGCAAGAGGCTGGGGAAGAAGCTTGGAGGGCAGTAGTCAGCAGGCCCCCTCCTCTGTGGAGCTATCATCATCATCTCAGAACTGCAGAGCTGGAACCCCCCTCCTCTGTGGAGCCATCATCATCATCATCTCAGAACTGCAGAGCTGGAAGGGACCCTATGGATCATGAAGTCCAGCCCCTGTAAAGGAGGCCCAGTGGGGGAATCGAACTCCCAACCTCTGAATCCACAACCAGATGCCTAAACCACTGAGCTACCCAGCAATGACTTAATCTATTATCTGATGAATCTACTTGTTAAGCCTCTTCAAAAACTGCACCCCGAAACTAAAAAAGTTCAATTGAAATATGGAGTTGACGGCTACATTTTTACTTTTGTTGTTGTTGTTGTTTTGGGTCCCGTGTAGGTCTTAGTCTATCTGGAGCCAACCGAGGGCATCTGTTCGCCAGCCATGGTGGGGCCAGCACAGAAACAGCGGGTGGAGGTCCCTGGGCGTCTAAACCACTGGGCTATCCAGCAGTGACTTAGTTAATCTATTCTCTGATGAATCTACTTGTTAAGCCCCTTCAAAAACTGCAGCCCTAAACTTAAAAAGTTCAGTTGAAATGTGGAGTTGACGGCTACATTCTTACTTTTGTTGTTGGTGGTGATGATGATGTTGTTTGGTCCCATGTAGGTCTTAGTCTATCTGGAGCCAACAGAGGGCATCTGTTCGCCAGCCATGGTGGGCCCGGCACAGAAACAGCGGGTGGAGGTCCCTGGGAAGTCGGCCGTCCCTGTGCCTTTTGTTTTGGTCCCCATGGGGACAAACGACTTGCCCATCACGGTGGTTGCGATGGGTTCCTGGGGCACCGGGGACAAAGTGTCCAAAAAGCTACGGGTTGAGGTAAGACGTTTCCCTCATTGCAAATGCGTCTTCGACCTTTCGGTGGGTGTGGTTGGACTGTTGGGTGGATGGGCCGTTGGGAGATCCAGCTTCTCGTGCCTTACGAGCCATCGCCTCGCTCCGTGACCTTGGGCTGAGTCATTCTCTTGGCCCGATCGACCTCACAGAGTTGTCATGAGAATGACATGAGGCAGAAGAAGAGAGCTTGCTGGAGGTGGCTGCAATAAATAAATAACCCCTATAGTCAACATTAGGGCTGATGATGTGTCTAAAGTCAACGTGTACATTCCGTGTCAAGATGTGACATTTGCCTGTACGTTTTTCTCTGCGCACACAACGACGGTCACACTGCTTGACTAGAGATGGGCACGAACGGCCAAAGCAGCGGTTTACGATGGTTTGTCCTTCAGCCAACCCTGCCTCCCCTGGCAGGCGCTCAGTCAGAGGCAGTGCTCACAGGAGATGGGATAGGAAGGCCGGGGCACTGCCTCTGAGTGGGTGTCTGCTAGAGGAGGCAGAGCTGGAAAGCACCGAACATCTGTTCAGCCGAAGGACGAACTAACACGAACTGCCAGTTCGGTGGTTTGTGCCCATCTGTATTCTTGACTATTTGGATTCAGGCTTTAGCTATAACTATGCCCTAATATTAAGTTTGAGAGGTAAATCCAGTGCTCAGAAGAGCAGACCCCTTTTCAGGTTGGAACTTGTGAAGCTAGCATTTCTATCCTCATCATCTTAGAACTGCACAGCTGGAAAGAATCCTATGGACCAGGCGTCTCCAACCTTGGCCCTCCAGATGTTCTTGGTCTTCAACTCCCAGAAATCCTGGCCAGCAGAGATGGTGGTGAAGGCTTCTGGGAGTTGTAGTCCAAGAACATAGGGAGGCCCAAGGTTGGGGACCACTGCTATGGACCATCGGATCCAGCCCCTGTCAAAGAGGCACAGTGGGGAATCAAACTCCCAACCTCTGGCTTTGCAGATAGATCTATAAGTCAGTAGCTCTAGTCAGTTGTTGTCGTCATGTACGGTCGAGTCCTTTCTGGTTTCCAGCAACCTATGAATGTGAGTTAACGACCTCCAAAAGCTCCCATTGTTAACACCCCTGCTTAGCTCTTACAAACCCAAAGCTTCCCATATTGAATCTTCTTTGGTCAGCCTCCATTTTTGATTTATAGTAGTAGGAACTAGCAACTCAGCTCACATCTGGAGCTCAAAGAACTCATTAACAATTTGCTAGACTCTTTGTAAATCAGGAGGTTCTTAAGAGTGAACCCCCACCCCCACGGGAGGAGCCCCAAAGTCTAAGCAGGCTTAGATTTCTGGGAGTTTGTTTAATTAATATACTGGTTCGTGTGTGCCAAAGCACTCTTCTGGACAGTTTGACAAGTTAAAACATATACAGTGGTGCCTCGCACAACGAGTGCACCGTAGAACGACGAATCCGCACAACGGGGCCGTTCTAGCGATCGCAAATGCGATCGCACACCGATGGCCCCTATGGCTCAAAATGGCAGAGCGAAGGTCGGGAAGCGGGTCGCTTACTGACCTTCGCTTTGCGACCCGCCGATCAGCTGTTCGGCGGCTTCAAAATGGCCGCCGGAAGCCCCAAAATGGCCGCGCGCAGTGTTTTCGCACCCTCGTTAAGCGAGGGGAGGGCGCGAAAATGGCTGCCGGCCATCGGAGAAACATCTCTGTACGGTGAGTAAAGCTGCTATTGGAACGCATTAAACTAAGTTTAATGCGTTCCAATGGCTTTTTTTGATCCGTACAGCGATGTTTTCACACAGCGAGGGTTAATCCGGAACTGTATTACACGATCCATAGACGGAAGGCTAAAAGCAACTAGTTGTAGTTCAGGAACATCTGGGGACCTAAGATTGGGGACCCCTAAGTAGGATCACTCCGTCTCTTGGTAGCTCAAGGTGGCTCAAGGTGTGGGGGGTCACCTCTTTGATCTCTGTGGTGAAGTGAGAGCGATGGGTAGAAAGAGGTTCTCCTCAAGAGCTCATCCAGTGAACTTGTTGGGTAAGCAAGGATTCCTCAAACCCATCCTTTCACATTCGACCCACTGTCTGTCCAGTCGGTCTTTCACTGACATCTCCTCATTCCGCCTCTTGTTCCTTTGCAGAGAGAGGGGTCTGTTGAAGTGGAGGAATACACGGTTTCCCTGGATAGCAAAGGTAGGAGGAAACGGGGGGGGTGGAGGCAAAACTGAAGCAAATTCTCATGACTGGGGAATATTGTGCAAGGTTTTAATGTTTGAACACAATGTGCACACACACACACACACATGGCAGGCAGGGATGCTTGGAGAAGAGCAAATGGTGATCTGCTCCTGAGAGGACACACAAGGCCTTTGTAAGCCATGGAGTTGTCTGGAGGATGAATTTAGGCCCCTTTGGGGACTCATTGCCACAGGCCGGCCACTCCTGCTGAAGTCAAAACTGTGGAAGAAATCCAAAAATTCCATCATGCTTTATGTTGACCTGGCCTATAATATATAAAACATGTCACTAACTGCATCTGTGCGCTGATATTCTCCCTTGTGTGTGTTTGTGACAGCCGTTGATAGTAAATAACCACTTGGTCTTTGTTAAAAATGTGAAGTTTAGCCCTGTCAGCTAACACCAGTCACATATTTGTCCCTTGTCTTTGAGACACCCGGGGATGTCGGCAAGTCTTTGGGTCTGAGTTTTTGGCATCAAGTCCCAAACCCCAAATTGGAGTCCCGAATAAAAACAAGGTTTCCCCCCCCCCAGAAAAAAGGGAGGGGGGGGTGGATTCGGAGTCATGATTCAACTCTGAGCCATTAAAAAAAAAAAAAACCAAGCCAAGTACAGTGGACCCTCTGCTTACAGAATTAATCCGTATTGGAACAGTGGCTGCAGGTCGAAAAGTCTGTCGGTCGAGTCTCCATTGACCTACAATGCATTGAAAACCGATTAATCCCGTAACCGGACATTTTTGTTCCATTTTTGTTCCATTTTGGTTTTTTTTTTCTGGTCTGTAGGTCGATTCTCAGGCTGCAAGTTGAACCTAAATTTTGTGGCCAGAGCAGTCTGTAACTCGAAAAGTCTGTAAGTCGAGCCGTCTGTAAGTCGAGGCTCCACTGTATGAGTCAAGGTTCCCTCTAAGGTATGCCCCTGCGTGACTCCACCTCCCTCTGTGCAGCCCCTTTGATTCTGGTCACAAAAATGTGCAGGGGGAGGAGTCACGCACATACGCAGGGGAGAAGTCGTGCATGAGAGAGGCAGAGCCCCGCCTAGCGGGGCTGAAAATTAGCAGGTACGTTAGTCTGAGTCCCGTTTCACAGCACGTCTTGTCTGTCTGTCTGTCTGTCTGTCTGTCCTTCTGTCTGTCTGTCTGTCTGTCGCCATTCTGATCAGTCAGAACTCTTTACTATGCAAATATGACATTCTAGTCCTCCACCCCCCGAATATTGCATACTGTATCGTACAATTATATGGACCAACCGTTTGGAAGGATTTGGGGGGATGGAGTTGGAGCAATACGGGGCGGTTCCCTTACTTTCTTTTCCTCTGTTTTGGGACAGAGGAGCAGCAAAGATCTTTCGAGATTTCCGGTGAGATTCCTTCCAACGCCCTTCCTGATGGAGACTTCAAAATGAGTGTCCGGGTGACAGGTAGGAAGCCAATCCATGCCTGCGCCAGCCCAGAAGGGGTGCTTCTGGAGGGAGGTTATGGGGGGTTAAAAGAGTAAAATGACAGGTTTTGTGGTCCAGAGGGCTTCCAGAAACTATCCAGAGGTAGCCCCATCTAGAGCACGTCATCCAGCTGGGATGTAACTAAGGCATGTGTCACTATGGCCAGATCAGACCCTTTTCCAGGTCTGGAACTTTCCTGAACGGATCCAATTTGCACGCATATTTTCTGTGTGTTTTGGAGAATGTGACATAAACCGAGAGCTTTGGGAGCTATCGTCCGGAAAAGCAGCTTTTCCAAACCGCTTGGGGTCCTAGTTTCCTCGTCCTCTCATCCATCCCCTTGCTCTCTGCTGAATATATATTTTGTCTCGGCTTAGGATCGGTACCTACTGACACCCTCCAGAGCTCTCTGGCCCCGGAGGGCCTGTGGTCTCTGCTGAGGGTTCCTCAGGGGTGCGGAGAGCAGACGATGATCTTGCTGGCTCCCGGGGTCTACGCCATGCAATACTTGGACAAGTCGGAGCAGTGGCTGCACCTGAAGCCAGAGAGCAAAGAAAAAGCACTGGAAAACCTCCGCACAGGTGAATACCGGTGAATGCTGGGAGGCATGGAGGGAGGCTGTCAGCTGTGGTGCCTCAAATAATTTAGGCTGTGGTCACACAGGGAATTTGATTTCTGTTCAGATTTTCTTAAAAATCCGGTTCAAGTCATGTACTATTTAAACCAGTGGACATGTTCACATGGACTGTATGGAAATGTCGATTTCTGTTCAGATTTTCTTAAAAATCAGGTTCAGGTCATGTGCTATTTAAACCAATGGACATGTTCACATGGACTGTATGGAAATCAATTTATTTCTGGTGATTTCAACCAGTTTTGGCATCTACACTGCTGAAATGGATTCATTTCCTTTTTGTTTTAGAAGCATACTGTTCTTAAAGATTTTCGTTTTATTTTTTTCCAAAACAAATAAGGGGTACATTGCTAAATTGAATGTCTGGGAAGTGCCGCCTGGTGTCATAACAGTTGCTAGAAACCATGGGGGGGGGGAGATACTGAAGACGTGACCCCAGCCAATGGATTATGGAAATATGGGAATGGGGAGTGGGAGCCTTCCAGCTCCTTTGCAGGGCTAAGCCTCCATGTCCAGACGACACCTGCTCTGCGCCTGCTCTGTGCCCCTGATTTTCTGCTGCTCTGCCGGCTCCTTCATCAGCCAAATGGAGAGAACAGGGTAGGTGGTTGTAACGCTCAACGTCTTGATGAGGTGCTGCAGCGATAAACGTTTTAAGAAAGAATTTTTTAAAGATACATTAAAAAGAAAAAATGGTGTTGTCCTTTGCCATCCCAAATTAAAAGGACAGCAGCGTTCACATCCACAAAACCACATTGAATGGAACCGATTTGAGAAACGAGGTATTTTTAAAAGCCTGTGTCGGTGACTTTTTTTAAAAAGTACTTTACAGCCCATATAAATCGAGTTCTTCCTTGTGTTGTGCGAATGTTAAAAAAGCTAAATCCATTTCAATGACACAAGGTTCTTGTTTCCGGTGTGGCCGCAGTCTTATTGGGTGCCTTTCGGGTAGGTATTTTGGTACTATATTCTAACCAACTCCATAGGCAAAATATGCAGCTCCAATGCAAATTGTCTCCTGCTGGTGCCCGCATCCCACGTTCCTCTCGGCCCCTCTCCGTGGAGCACTGACCGCTTGAGAACTTCCTGTCTAATCAATGCCCTCACGTTGATGATTGGGGCAGGAAGGAGAGGGGGGCCTGGCCGGACGGCTTCTTTCTTTCTACCCATGAAACCAAAAATGATGAGGGGAAAGAATGATATAAAAAGTTAGCAAACAGGAATTAACACCCAATTATACAGCCTTCTAAACTTGTCCTTTTTTAAAAAAACTGCAGGCTATGAGCGAATTCTCACTTTCCGGAAGAACGATGGGTCTTATGGAGCTTGGCTCAACCATCCCAGCAGTACGTGGTAAGATTCCAAACCGCAAAGAAGTTGATGTGTCTGAGGACGGACAGGGTCTGAGTGAGATTCTTAGGAGATTCCTTTTCTGGACACACGTGGCCAGCGCCCTCCTTATCCTGCACCTTGGCTCCTCTTTCACATATACAGGCCACCAGAGCTTGGAAATTGACTTTTAAAAATGGTTTCCAGGACTTCCCACCACCACCACCTAATTAGTGTTACAATGTATTCGCCTTGGCGAATACATTGTCAACCACAGTGACAGATAATCTCTTCTCCTTAGCACAACAATACACCCACAAGAAGACACACTAATCACCCATCTACAGAAAAAGACAAAAACCTATCTCACAGCCATAAATACTGCACTCCCAAGCCAACTACACCAGAGCACAGAGTGCTGTCTTCTGAAGATGGTCATGGCCACAGAGACTGGCGAAACGTTAGGAAGAACAACCTTCAGAACACGGCCAAAGAGCCCGAAAAACACACAACAACTAGTGTTACAATATTTTAGTAGCATTTGAATTGTGTGATTATCCTTATTTACTATTTATTGAGACTGTGGCCCCATAAATATAGACATCATAGAAAAATGGAATTGGAAGGGGCCTCTTAAGGCCATCAAATCCAACCCCCTGCTTGAAGCAGGAATCTTAAGTCAAAGCAAGTCTGACAGACAGCCGTCCGATTTTCTTTTGAATGCCTCCAGCATTGGAGTGCTCACCACCTTTTTGAGGTAATTGTCCATTGTCATACTCCTCTAACAGTTAGGAAGTTTTCCCTGATATTCAGGAAAATTATCACAACAGTAATATAAGGTAGTTATACCTTTTAGAGTCTAAGTGCTGGCCAGATAGCTCAGTGGTTTATGTATCTCGCTGCAGAGCCACAGGTTGGGAGTTTGATTTCGCACCATGCCTTCTGCAAGTAGAGCCAGCCTGTGTAGCCTTGGGCGAGCTGTACAATCCCAGGATGGCCCCCACCAGCAGAAAAAGGAAATGGGAAACCACTTCTGAGTATTCTCTGCCTGGAAAACCCTGAAAAGCGTTGCCATAAGTCAGAATGGACTTGACAGCACACAGTTATTTGGAACTTCCAGTGTGGTGTAGTGGATAAGAGTGATGTTACAGTATTTTTTAAAAGTAGCTCCTTACTTTCTGCTTCTCAAAAATAACTAAAAGAATCAGTTTTTTTTTTAAAATCTCTTTTCTAAAAATTCAACAGGACAAAGTAGAGTGCACAGTAGCATTCAAATTGTGTGATTGTCCTTATTTACTATTTATTGAGACTGTGGCCCCATAAATATAAACATCATAGAACAATGGAATTGGAAGGGGCCTCTTAAGGCCATCAAATCCAACCCCCTGCTTGAAGCAGGAATCTTAAGTCAAAGCAGATCTGACAGACAGCCGTCCGATTTTCTTTTGAATGCCTCCAGCATTGGGGTGCTCACCACCTTTCCGAGGTAATTGTCCATTGTCATACTCCTCTAACAGTTAGGAAGTTTTCCCTGATATTCAGGAAAATTCTGGCTTCCTGTAATTAGAGTCAATTATTGCACATCTTCCACTCTGGGATGATAGAGAACAGATCCTTTATGGTTTATGTATTTTATTATAAGTCAGTAAGTTTGATTTCGCACCATGCCTTCTGCAAGTAGAGCCAGCCTGTGTAGCCTTGGGCGAGCTGTACAATCCCAGGATGCCCCCCCACCAGCAGAAAAAGGAAATGGGAAGCCACTTCTGAGTATTCTCTGCCTGGAAAACCCTGAAAAGCGTTGCCATAAGTCAGAATGGACTTGGCAGCACACAGTTATTTGGAACTTCCAATGTAGTGGATAAGAGTGATGGACTAGGACCCTGAAGGACAGGGTTCGAATCCCTGCTCGGCCATGGAAGCTCGGGGGGGTGGGGAACAGAACTGGTAAAGCCACTCCTTAAATATCTCACTTACAGTGGTGCCTCGCTAGACAGTTACCCCGCATGACAGTTTTTTCGCTAGACATTGACTTTTTGCAATCGCTATAGCGATCCCTGCTTCGCGAACCGATTTTCACTAGACGACAATTTGCTTTTCGCTAGACAATGATTTCTCTAAATAGGAATTTCAGTGGAATGGATTATCATCGTCTAGTGAGGCACCACTGTACTTTAAAAGCCCAATTCGGGTTGCTAAAAGTTGGTTCCAACTTGATGGCACAGAACACACACACACACACACACACACACACGGGGAGAGAGAGAGAGCCCTCTACAATCTTAGATTATACCATTGTTGTTGGAAAAACGAATTTATTATAAGTCAGTAAGTTAATTAGAAGTAGCTATTCTGAATAAAACAAGCCATCTAAGCAGCCATCTCTAAATATTCCTCCCTTTCCCCACTCTCACGCATTTTAGGCTGACAGCCTTTGTGGTAAAAGTTTTATCGCTGAGCCGCGAGTACCAGTATGTGGATGGGGCTAAGATCCGTGAAACAGTCCTGTGGCTGCTAAAACGTCAGGGTTCTGATGGCTCTTTCACTGACCCCCATCCTGTTTATCACCGGGAGATGCAGGTGAGCTCTAACATTCTTTTTTTTTTTTTAAGTAATTTGTCAGTGTTACTCACTTGAAAGTTCAGAAAAGTCCAGAAAAGTAGTTGGTTACTACGGCTAAATGATATATGCAAAAACAGACACATATACAGTAGTACCCCCTCATCCGTGGGAACAATATCCACTGATTCACTTATCCATAGCCTGAAAATATTAAAAATATTGAAAATGTTAAAAATATAAAAAATAGATTTGCAGGAAGTTATTACCAAAACTCTCAGGGGACGTGGTGGCACTGTGGGCTAAACCGCAGAAGCCTGTGCTGCAGGGTCAGAAGACCAAGCAGTCGTAAGATCGAATCCACGCGACGGAGTGAGCGCCCGTCGCTTGTCCCAGCTCCCGCCAACCTAGCGGTTCGAAAGCATGCAAATGCAAGTAGATAAATAGGGACCACCTTGGTGGGAAGGTAACAGCGTTCTGTGTCTAAGTCGCACTGGCCATGTGACCACGGAAGATTGTCTTCGGACAAAACGCTGGCTCTATGGCTTGGAAACGGGGATGAGCACCGCCCCCTAGAGTCGAACACGACTGGACAAAAATTGTCAAGGGGAACCTTTACCTTTACCTATTACCAAAACTGTCCACTAGATGGAGCCAGAGACCATGCTATGTGGGGAGGGCTTGGAATCAAACACCTTTCAATATCCTTTTTTTTTTTTT